TCGCTCAGGATGGTAGGTGATGGGAACCTCTCCTGGCCACAGTGACCTTGCAGGGCTGCTGAAAAGGGCTGCATATGTCGATACATGCCCTTGCCATTAAAGAGAGTGTTTCTTACCTTTTATTTTCTTCAGAGTTGAAAATTACCCTTCCAAAGCCAAGTATGTACTTCAGAAGGGGGAGTGTGAATTTAAACTGACTTTTTTTTTTTTAATTCATGTTTCCCAAACCCTTAGCTGGCTGGGTAAATTGTTTTTTAGCATTGAATTACATACAGTTAAATCATGGCTTATGCTTGTGGTCAGTGCTGCTTTTCTTCTAAGTGAGCCTGTTTATTTAAAAAACTTGAACATGAGAAGTTGTTTTGCTCACTCAGTTGGAGTTTATTGTAAAATTTGGTTGCCAGAAAAAGAAAGAAGTCCTGTTTTTGCGCTGGGTGTGTGCAGAGCAGGCTGGAGTGAAGGGGAGAAAGCACAATCATGGTGCTTTGTCTTCTCTGCCCAAAGAAGGAAAGCTCTAATGGTCAACAGAAGGTGCCTGCAGAGATCTGGGGCTGTGACCACCAGATGACGCACCAACAGATGCCTCCAAACAGGGCCCTGCCAAGCATGCGTTTTCACTCTTGATCCTTCGCAATTATAAAAGTAATTCTGGAAAGAAACAGATAGGAAACAAAGTGGAGATGACATTTGTTATGCAAAGGGTAAGTTTGATGCTTGTGGAAAATCAGTGGTTGTTTCACCCTGTTCTGGGTCACGGGGTGTCATGAACAGAGGTCTCACCCTTGACCCCGGGAGGTACTGATTGATGAGGCAGCAACTGAGAATCCTCTGAGGCACAGGCCGCAGACATCCAGAGCCCGGCATCTGTTCCCCATGCAGACCTTTGCAGGAGGCCGAGCCATCCCGACCTGCAGATGAGAAAATCAGGAGCTGTAGAGATAGCGTGTGACCCTGCCCTCGCACCATTGGTCTGTGACAGGGGCCACAATCCTTATATAAAGTGAGATCTCTCCCTCCCTCCCTCCCCTCTCCCTCCTTCTATCCTTCTCTCTCTCTCTCTCTCTCTCTCTCTCTCTTTCTCTCACACCCACAGACACATCTTAGAAAAGGACGCTAATCTGCCAGTCATTTTACTTTTTGTGATTTTAATCCGTCTAATGACAACAAAGTTATCCTGTCGGTAATCCTTCTAGGATCCCCCTGATTGAGCTAAGAACTCTCTTCATACCTCAGCTCCTGCATGGCTCTTGTTATACGTTGTAGGAATTAAGTGGTTGTATTTCTGTTTATAAATGCTTTGCATACATTCATCTTTAAAAGGCGCCTCATTTATTTTTCTTCTTCATACTTTATAAGATTGATGTAACCACAGCAATACTAATTGACCTTTCTCCTATTTCGACAGCAGTGCTTTTTTTAATGGTCCCTAGGAGAGTGCTCTATTTTAGTTGGTAAGGCCTGCCCATGCTATGACGTTATCAGGAGGTCCTGGGGGCTTAGGACATTCAAAGTCTCCTGCAGTGGAAAACGGTTGGGAGCCAGGCTGACACCAAGGGGTAAATGCTGACAGAGGGCACCTGCACTGTTTTCTTTAGGGCAATAGGTAGCTGGAGATAACAAGGGCCCCCACTGTTCTTCTAGTGACTACAACCTTATAGGAATGAGAAAGGAATAACCTTTGTGAACTCTGCCCATGGACAAATGGAAACTATTAATGCAGAGACAAGAACCTTAGTGAAATTCCAAGTTTGATTCATTTTATAGAAAGTATTAACATGGACAAGAACCTTAGTGTTCACAAGATTCCAAATTTGATTCATTTTTAGCACTGGCTTTTTCCACTAAGGCATATATCAGACATACAAGCAAGCACAGAGAATAATATTTGGAATATCCATGTACCCAGCAGTCAGCCTTACTGTTTGCTACCTACCCTACCCAGAGGCCACTGAATGTGGTGTTTATCACTCTGAGATTATGAATTTAACTCTTGGGGACTTCTCTTAATGCAAGGGCATTTGCGTAAAACAACAGGAACTGTGTGTTGTGAATATAAAAAGTGTGGTTTTTGGAGCCACCACGAGACTGCTGCAGTTACTGGAAATGAGCAGTGTGACTGCAGGGACCAAACTTTTTCAAACCTGAGATTCAGGGTTAGTTGGGATTTTTCTAAGGGGACGAAGCAGGATGGTCGGTAGCCCGAGTGTCATTTGTCGAGGTGAAACTCAGATGTATGAGGAGATGCATGGTTGAGGAGTAATGTTTTTCAAGCTTTTTGATTGTGAGGCACACAAAAAATTTATTTTGCATGTGGACTCATATGCCACACACACTTGCACACACATCCGAGTGCAAAGTTTCAGTGAGCTCGTCATATGCACTGCTATTCTCTCTTTGGTAGCTGCCTTGAAATGCAGTCTTCTTTGTTGGTTGTACAGAAGCTATTTTGTTCTGATGAGTTGGTTTTATGTACCACTAGTAGATAGGAACCCACAGTTTAAAACTACAATTAAAAAAAGTCAAACCAGTCCCAGTTTGGGGAATTGTAATTTGTTCCATTGGACAAGTTTTTTTAAAGGATATATTTAGCTGAGCTCTGCTGAACATTTTCACAAGTCTTCTCTGTCACTGACCTAAACCGTAAATATTTATGCCATAACTTACTAATAACAATCCCATGTAAAATTAAGCATAATCCAAAGCTCCTTTGGGTTTCAGGTTATTTTATGTCATGTTGCTTGCTTCTCCTGCTCTATGCTTTCCACCTCTCCAACCATTTCTGTGAGGAAGCTTGTCTAGCTGGCATAAACAGAATTTGAACACAGTGACTTAACTATATTTTATAAATTTGCAGTTGTTAAGCCACAAAATCAACCTTTCCAAATAAAAGTGAGTATAAGTCAAAGTGCCAAGTGGAAAAGAACAGCTTTTGAGACTTCAATTCTTTTCCTCACAGTTGACCTCTGTAGGATCTTAAATGAGGTCCATACAAAAAATAAAGATATAATAAGCCTTGCATTCTGTTTGTTAAATGTCACTCAACTTTTGTGTAACCAGGCTGACATCTTGCTCAAAGGAGGTGCCTGGTAATGATCCCCAAGGCATGAAATTGCGTGTTACCTTTGTTCAAAAGAAATTTAAGGCTGAGAATGTAGCTCAGTGGTAGAGTACAGGCCCTAGGTCCAATCCTTGACCCTGGTGTGTGTTGGCTGGAGGCATATTTATCTAATGTGATTAACAAAGGTGACTTCCTTCAGGAAGCAAACGAGAGGAATTATATTTAATGTACATTAAACAAGCAGTTGTTGGAGATTATGAGCTACATTGGTTCCCGGAGACTAAAGTAAATCAGCTTGCTTGCTCCAAAAGGTGACTACCTACTGCCACTTAGACATTACTGAGGTCGCTGCTTCCTAAAATGTGGAAAAAGAGGAAGGCTTTGCGTAAACCAGCTCTTTCACATCAGTGGACATGTGGCTCTACCTCAGGAAATTTAAATGGGTTGGTTCAGTAATGGGAGGGAATGTCTCGTCTGGATGAGAAAGGGAAGAATTCAGCTGATTTTCAGACACAAGAGCGGATGTGAGAATCGTGCTTTTTGTTGTATACATTCATGAATGGGTGTCTGCGTGACTTCTGGAATGGTTCTTAAACGTTTTTGTCTTTTGACTCCTTTCCACTTAAAAATTGTGTGGAATCTGGACATGGTGGCATATGGCTGTAATACCAGCACTTGGGAGTCTGAGGCAGGAGGATCGTTGCAAATTTGAGACCAGCCTGTGCTACAAAGTGAGCACAAGGCCAGCCTAGACGGGATAGCGAGACCCTGTCTCAAAAAGAAAAAAAATTGTGTGGACAACTCCAAGAATATTTTGCTCCTGTGGGTGTGTCTATTCATTTTTCATTTTAGGTATTAAAATTATGAGAATTTTAAAAAGAAATTTTAAAATATATTTATTGACTATTAAAATACTGAATCTATTATATATGAATATATAATGGAATAATGAATCTGTTATATATGAACACTGTAACATTAAAAACTATGTTTTAAAAAACAGAGGAGAGCCACTGATTTTGGATCTCCAAAAGACTGGTGAATGCCTGTCGTTCTAGCACTAGGGAAGGTGAGGCAGGAGAATTGCAATGAGTTAAAGGCCAGCCTGGGCTGCATGGCCAGACTTTGTCTCAAAAAACCAAAACAAAACTCCAAAACATGATTATTTTATATGTTTAGACCTTAGTTTAATAAATGGCACCAGCATTCTCATATCCACTTTGGCATATAGCTTGTGCGGTCTGTTGTTTTGGTTTAAGAGTATGAAGAAAATTTTGTTCACACGGATACATACTGGGAAAAAAGAGGATCTCACAGCCCTGCCAAAAGGTCTCAGAGCTCCAGGGATGCTGGGGACACACTTGGAGAACCACCATCCTATGAAGTGTTCGGGAAGAATATGGGTGGCTGAGGGATGAGACTACTAGTGATCCTCACTTTTTTCCTTTTTGTTTGCGTATTTTCCTAGAACAAAGCTGTTTTTTTTTTTTCAGCCTAAAAAATAAAGCATGAATATTTTGAGGGACGATTATGGAGGCCCAGGAAACCTGGGCAGAGACTTTACACTTGGGAAATCAAGGAGCCTCATAATTTCTTAAATAGGAAAATGACTTGGTAAAAGTTGTTTTTGGGGGTACAGTAAACGGATTAGAGTGGGAAGAGAGAGAACAGAGAAAAGCCACTCCAGTGGTCACTGCAGTGACCTGGATGAGTGGCATGGTGGGCTAGGCCTCAGGGCTTGGCAAAAAAGGAAAGAGACAAACTTGGAAAGAGCTTTGGAAGGCAGTGACCATAACTAGGACATGGTGATGGTCGGGGTGTGGGTGGCCAGGGTCAAGGATGACTAAGAGTTAAAACAAGTGTCCCCTCCCCCCCTTCTGTCTTTAAGCTTTTCTGAAAATTACCTGAATCGAGCTCACTGGGGCCTTTCCTTGTCTTGCAGAGCTGGCTAGCCCATTTTGGGGCTCCAAGGGAAGCCACCACATTTCCACGGTGAATCTGTCGCTGATGCTTCCCAGAGAAAAGGCAGCTTTGCACCTATGCCATCCCTGGGGAGTTCCTTGCTGCTGACCGCCCTGGAGCCCAGCAGGCACTGAGGGGCCACGAGTTTGGTTTCCTGTACAGAGACTCTGTGGTCCACCTCATATGCACCCCAGCACCCCCATCAGCTCCCTCTTCTCCTTCACCAGCCCTGCAGTGAAGAGACTGCTCGGCTGGAAGCAAGGAGATGAGGAGGAGAAGTGGGCTGAGAAGGCAGTGGACTCACTAGTGAAGAAACTAAAGAAGAAGAAAGGGGCCATGGATGAGCTGGAGAGGGCCCTCAGCTCTCCGGGGCAGCCCAGCAAGTGCGTTACCATCCCGCGGTCCCTAGACGGGCGTCTGCAGGTGTCCCACCGCAAGGGGCTGCCCCATGTTATCTACTGCCGCGTGTGGCGATGGCCCGACCTGCAGTCGCACCACGAGCTGAAGCCCCTGGAGTGCTGTGAGTTCCCATTTGGCTCCAAGCAGAAAGAAGTGTGCATCAACCCTTACCACTACCGCCGAGTGGAGACCCCAGGTGGGTTTGCGCATGGTGTCCGGGTTTGTTGCAGTTAAGGTGATGTGTCTCGATGCAGAATGGGGGGCACCACAAAGCAAGGATCTCTGCTGGGAGAGAAAGGAAGGATCTATTCTGACGAGCAAATCCAACAGAAAAATCTAGGCAGAACATATTTTAATCTGAATACACATGTAAGCTTTGTGCGCTTTCAAGAGTAGTTTTATTTGGCTTAATTTAGAAAGAATCATCATAATCTTTTCCTTTTCCTGGTTCTTAAGTTTTGAAAGTCTTAAAATGGCCTTGATAATGATTAGCTGTGAAAACATAAACATGTCCCGCCAGCTACTCTGAACTATACTGAGCTAAACTGAGGAAAGGTTTTTGGCTCCACTTTGTCTGAGCTCAGATAAGTCAAAGGCATTTCATATCTCAATCTGAAAACAGCCAAGGCAAGGCTTGATGAAAGTTATTCCAAGGCTAAAATCAAGTTGGGGAAGGATTGGCAGTTGTTCTGAAATGCATTGTGTGAGTGTTTTTTTGTTTTGTGTGTTTTTGTTTGGTTTGTTTATTTTTTTTTCCTGGTGCTGAGGATCAAACCCAGGGCCTTATGCATGCTAAGTAAATTCTTCACTGTGTAAATACAATTCTTAAATGCAGTTTAAAATGTAGGAAAGTCCTGTTCTGAAGCTCTTCACACACTGGTAGGTGTGTGTATGCACATACCCGCTCCTCCCTGGAGAAGCCTGGTGTTTACCTTCCTTCCTTCCTTCACACTGTCTGTAACAGTTTTATTGCAGTTCTCTTTGCATGGAGTGTTCCCATGGCATTCCAGGCAGGAAGATCGTTTTTCTCATGGCAGCCTTCTTTCTTTCATTGGCCATCTGCCTCATTCCAGGAAACCAAAGGGCTGGCACATTTGCTCAGGGAAATTGCCCGTGTCCAATTAGGAGACAGTGCTGTCTAGGTAGCAGCTCAAGTGTTCAGTCACCTCAATGAAGGGTTGACCAGTAGTCACGCTCGGCCTGCGTCAGCAGCACACAGGTGACTCTGTGGGCTTCCAAAGCTTGCCATCCTGTTATCCAGTGGTTGATGCGGAAGTCACCTGCTTGGGTCTGGGTGCTTCTCAAACCATTTCTTGGCTTTGCAGCCTTGTCTGAGGAGGCCATTATAAGATCCCACGTTCTTGGCAGATCTGATGCATTTCCCTGAAATCAAGGAAATCATTGCTTTTTCTCTTTTTTCACATTTCTCTTCAAATTCTCTTTCTATATCTAAAAAAAAAAAAAAAAAAAAAAAAAAAAAGTGGAGAGTGGAGACACACATTTGTACTCCCAGCCACTCTGAATTGCTTCAGCCCAGGAGTTGAAGGCCAGTGTAGGCAACACAGAAAAAAACCTGTCTAAAAAACTCAGTCTTATGACAAAGTTGACTTGATTCCTTTTAGTCTCAAAGATTTGAGTTGTACTAGACATTCAGATTATATAATAAAAAGTAACGTACCTCAATGGATAAGTGTTCATTGAGAAATATTTTCTCTTTCATAAGTAATGCAATTATAAAATGTAAAATGTCGTAACAGCTTGTAAGAGTAAAATGCATCCAGTTTTCCTTCTGTGTACTCAGAAACCCATTTTTAAAGAACTATTTGATGTTTTAGCTTTCCCATAATATATTAAGTTTGTTTTAGGATGAGAGTGTCAAGGTTTACATATGTAGATAGATTTCATATCATCACATTTTAATTAGATTTTCCAGAAAATGGGTTAAGAGTGTATTAATTTAAAATGATATTTAAGCTATCCAGGCTTTTACTCCTAAGAGATCATTTTGCGAGAACAGCAGAATTTACATATACTTACCCTGTTTGAAGTAAATATTTTGAGAACATTGAAAATGTTAATGCTAAGTTTGCCGAGTCCTAATTATATTAAAAATTTAAGTGTTGCCTGTGGAGTTTTATTTTTGTGGTATGTTTTAAGGACACTGAAAGCTGCACTCTGGTTCTCTTTTCATTTGTACGTCCACATAGGGAATTGATTTCAGTGCTTCTCCCACGGTGAAGCATCCATTTTTGCTTTTTAATTTTCCAGTTCTCCACATCAGCACTTTTAAAAAATAAATGAATTACAGGCAAATAAAATTTTAAAGAGACTTTATAAAATGCAAACCCAATTTTAAAAATTACTTGTTTTGGCAGATATAACTGTCAGATTGCTATTGAGCATTGGTAAACACTGGAATTCCTTATTTCTATACTGATCTCATTACAAATGGGTCCCTAATGGTGAGAGGACTTCAGGTTCTCACTCTACACACTGACTAGAATGGATGGGTCTCATAGAAGCCATCTAAAAATGTTTTTGTTAGTATAATTTTACCCCATGTAGTTGCTGGTGGAAGTTGTTTCAGGAGTGTAATTTCTCCTTTTACATAAAATAGGCTTACTGTATTCAAACTACACGACATTTAAGAAAAGAGATTAAAACAAGATAACAGGAAATCAACCATGGCTAACACAATGCCTCTTGTTATCTTCAGAGTAGCTGCCTATACTATAAGACAGAAAAAAAAACCAGTATAAAATCAGTCAAAAGTAATAAAAATGATACAAGGATTCAAAACAAGATAACAGAAGATCAACAATGGCTACCTCCATATATCTTCGAAACAGCTGCCCATATCATTAGATATAATAGAATCTAACAAAACCAAACAGAATACCCTCTGTTGTGTTCACTGTTTTGTTTTGATTGGCTCTATTCTATTTTGTTTGGTTTTATTCTCTTTAAAATAAAACTTTCTTAAAAAAGGAAATGCGATTAAAATATTTTTGTAGGTTTTTTCCCTTTGTATCTCTCCGTGCCCGGTAACTTCTCCTGCTACTTTCCTATGTATAACACGAGACAAAGACGGCAGGGTGCTTAAAAGGCAGCACAATACAAAAGATGTTTGCAAACATTGTGTTGAATTTGCAAGCAGCAGTTGAAATGTGGAAATAGAATTAAGCAGTTAAGGATAGTAGTGTTTTTAGGGAAGGTGTTTAAATTACTTTTATTTATTGAGATAGGGTCTCGCTATGCAGTTCAGGCTGGCCTTGAATGTGCTAGTTAGCCTAGGATGGCCTCAAACTGACAGCAGTCTGCCTGCCTCAGCCTCCTGAGTGCTGAGATTATAGGTATGTGCCACCATGTTCTGCTGTGTTTAAAAATATGACCAGTTGAGATTTAAGGAAGCTGAGTGAATGAATCAAGCCAAATAACAACCAGAATCATATTTAATTAGATTATAGAATATATCACCAAGATATTTATCACGGTAAAGAAAATATTCTTTCTTTGCTCTTGGAGCCTCAGGTTCTACTGCTGAAGAAATGGAAGTTTGCACTGAGAAGGGTTTGAAACCTTGAGTTCAGTGATAGTTTGTGCTCATCAAAAATAGGTGTTATGTGAACATTAGCATTGTGATAAAGAAGCATCGTTGGAGAAGAGGCTATCTGTATATTATCTACTATTTCAACCACTGGCTTGCTTGAGGCAAGCTAACTTTTTATTTCGGGAAACACACTAGAGGAGTCTTCGTTGTTTAGCTTCCATGCCCACCTTTTTATTTTGTATTTTGTTGTGCTAGAGATCAAATCCAGAACCTTCCATATGCTGGGCAGGTGCCGTAGCACTGAGCTATGCACCAGCCCTGTGTCACTTATGCACAGTGGTGTTTAATGTTTGTCCTCTAATGTTAGAAGGCATCATTATAAAAAGACTAATTTATGAAAGGAGAAGAAAGCATTTGTTTCTCTGCTACCCTCATCAGTACTTACTTTAAAACCTTTCACTTATCTGCTTGAATTTATTTTTTGTTCATACAACTGAAAATTATTGCTTGTTAGGAAAGAGATAAATGTATTAAGTTGAAAAGCAAATGGTAAGTTGTGTGACTGTTACTTTTTTCTGCATTACTGTTGTTGCAGAATGTTCCAGATGTTCCAAAATATTTACTTTTGAAAGATCTTTTTAGATCAGTTTTACATTTTTGTATGAAAGTTTTTATCAATACTTGCAGGTGCTAACAAATGAACACTATGATTAAAAGCAAGACCCAACTCTTCTGTCTGTCAGAACATCTTTTAAACATTTCTTGCTTAGTTCTTTGCTCTTTCTTCTATAATTACTGACAACCACAGAGGTAACTATGGTTAATGTGCTTATTGTCTGTTTCCAAATTTATTCCTGTTAGATAATCTGCCATCCTTGTAACATAAAAGATGAGGATTGAGTGATACATAGATCACTTTCTGCCTTCTTCCTTCCTCTCAGTCTTTAATATCTCTATTTTAGTTCATACTGTAGTTTGTCTGAATTTTCAGTTATTGTGTTTTCTGTTGTGGATTTGGGGGTGAAATTTTTCCTTCAGAAGGTCATTAGTTGGTTGTCTTCAGTGGTCAGTGTTGAGGTGGGAAGTCAGTTCTCATTTCTGTGTAGGTCACTGTGACCCTCCAAGAGTTTCCAGAATATTCCATTTTTCTTTCAGTGTTTGAAACACAAGGTGGTATGACTATGTTTGAATGTTTCTTTATTGACTGGGCTCTGCACTCTTGTGTTTCTTTTTCATCTGAAGATACAGATCCTTTTCAGCTCTGGGAAGCTGACTTCTGTTGTTTCTTTGGACATTTTCTATTTTCTCTGCATCTCTGCCTGGAATTTACGTTGTTTCCTGGCTGCATTTCAGCCCCTGTATTTACCTCACTGATGCCAGCCACTGTGCCCCTTCAGATGTCCCCAGGAAGTTTGAGCCCCCAGACAAAGCTCACCCCTGAGAATCTGAATCCATTCCTGTATATTACGTTGACTCAGGATCAGGAATACTTAACGTTCTTTTTAAAAATGAGACCTAGAAGGGACCTACTGAAAGAAGCAGATTTAATTTATAGATTTTTATTGCAGCTGATCTTTTACTTACTTTTATTTTTACTTACTGCTTATGCTTTACTTAATAACTTTTGCTCTTCACCTTTAAATCTTTCCATTAAGGATACACAGAATGTGTTTATTCCAGTAGCACCATAATGCCTGAAATTGAGGCTGATCATCTAAATAATTCAATACAATCTATAAAGGCAAAACATTCTGGGCATCACTTAGGGTTTCAGTTACAAGCAATAGAAACAAGTGCCTTTAAAAAAAGGTCTTTATTGACAGAAGTAAAGGAAGACATAAACAGTCTGTTCCCCAGAAGGCCAGGGCCCAGAACAGCTCCGGTCATTTCCAAGGTAGGCGTGAGCAGGTGGTCCTCTTTGGAGTGCTGATATCAGAAAGGCCCCTGTGGAACTTTGTCATTAATTCTGAGATTCTGTTTTAGATGCAGGAGAAAGGCTTTTGGTTTAGTGTGGCTCATACCCACCTGTAGGGTAGAGATGGGACCTCACGGGCAGTTTTATGATGAGCAGAACAGTAGAGGGGTATTCCAAAGAGAGAGCTGTGTTGTCATCAGCCACCGGACGGACAAAAACTGCTCCTGTCCCCTGAGTTCTGTCCTGATGAGCGGTGCTCTGTTCTCACTCTCCTGTTCCCTTCTTCTCCTAGTGCTGCCTCCTGTACTCGTGCCCAGACACAGCGAATATAACCCCCAGCTCAGCCTCCTGGCCAAGTTCCGCAGCGCCTCCCTGCACAGCGAGCCGCTCATGCCACACAATGCCACCTACCCTGACTCCTTCCAGCAGCCTCCGTGTCCTGCGCTCCCTCTCTCGCCTGGCCACATGTTCTCTCAGTCCCCGGGCTCAGCCAGCTATCCCCACTCCCCGGGAAGCCCTTCTGAGCCAGAGAGTCCCTATCAACACTCAGGTAGGTCAGTAAGAGCCGCGGTCTTTGAGAAAATTGGCCCGGAAGCAGTGATTGATGGTCAGCCATCCTAAGTATAAGCATGATAAGTAGCATTCACAGTACTTTATGGTACTTTACAAACCAGTCTCCTACAGGTGTTGGATTCCATCTGCCTTCTGCCAGTATCAGGACCACACCCATCTGGAAACAGCTCTGTGGCCACAACAGGATTGGACTCTGGTTTCTGGATCTAATCCTTGGGAAGTACTCAGAAACTAAATGGATTTGAACACCATCCCTGGGAAGTTCCAAAGATAATTCTTTGTGGCAGTAAAATATGATAAAAATATTTCTTTAACCCAAGAAGAAAGACATGGACTGAGGGTTGGCAACATGGAAGATGAGGGTTAAGCTTTTTAAGAACCAAAAGGGAGTCCCTGCTACATGCAAAATGCCCACGGGGCAGAGTGAGGCTCCCTCTAGCCAGTGCATTCTCACCTTTTGCTTTGTGAAGCCAGGACAGCAGCTTGCTAGGGAGGTCTTTGGTCACGCACTTGCTGAATTGAAGGTAGACATGAAAGGAAAAGGGAGAATCTACTACACGAACATAGTTGCTTGTGCTGTGTGTGCTACCTGAGGAGTGGGTCAGAGTTGCGATTCTGGGAATAGACTTATGTGCACCTCGCAAGTGTGAGATAAGTAGTATCTGGAGCTAACAAGTTTCTGAAGGCAAACATGTAGTGTTCTGTCTCATGCGTAGTGCCAGCTGCTGCAGTCTGCATCATCCATTTATTCATGAAGCCATTTATCTAGCAGATATTTATGAAACTCTTATTTTGTGAAAACCTTGCCGTAAGTTGCTACAGAAGCAATTAAAAGATCAACCCCAAATCCTCAAAGACCTTATAAAATGTGGGAAGGCAAATGCCTGTAATCTCAGCACTTTTAGGGCTCTGGGGCAGGAGACTGGAAAGTTCAAACCTATCCTGGACAACTCAGCAACTTAATGAGACCTTGTCTCAAAAATCTAAAAAGGGCTGGGGATGTAGCTGAATGCACAGGCCGTGGAGTCGGCGCTCAGCACATTTAAAGAACACAGAGTAGGTGGGGAGTTGCCTCTTCTCCTCTGAATCAGTTTTTCTTTTGCCTGCTCAGCAGTTTATTCACATATCTACCTTTACATTTGTCCAGTTACATAGTTCCTTTGCCTTTCAGTGTCCGCTATAGGGTTATAATGCAGTGATTGCCCATTTCAGTTGCTTGTTAAGAAATCACCACACAGGTATTTGAAACATGACCTTAAAGCTCAGAAGTAGAGATGTAGATTTTCTTGACCCAGTAAGTAATGACTGCCCACCTGTGAAATGTTCAGCGCTGAGCCAATACTAAAGGTGGAGTGATGGGTAAAACCATAGTCTGTGACCCTCAGGAGGCCTTGACCATGAAGTATTGCATAAATAAGTCATCACAGGCACTAGCCCCCTAGAGGCTGTGGCAGTCCAGGCAAGTGATGATAAGGACTTTAACTATAGCAGGCATGTGGGAGCAGAAGGGGATGATAAATTGGAGGAGATAGGTTGAGGGTTATCGGAGGACAGAGCCATGGTTAAGGACAGGACAATTTTGTCACTGAATGCATGCGTATGTAACATTCATCCATTTATGCGGTAAAGATTTCCTTTACCGGCTTTGTGTTCTGGCCCTGGTCACACTGACAGGCAGAAGTTGTCTTTCCTCTTTCCATCTGACAAGCGCAGACCCCAGCAGGGATGGAGAAGCTGGTTAGTTTCTTTGCATTTCAAAGAAAATAGTTCTTTTCTGAGTCATTAGCAGAAAGGTGCCAACCTGAATAATAAAATTGCAGATAAGTAAGAGTGAAAGGAGCTTTTGAGATTGACTGTTTCTATTTTTGGCAGTTTATTGAGATATAATTCACATACCGTATGATTCACTCACTTCAGGTATACAATTAAATTATTTTTGTAAGATTGATTTTTCAGTTGTAAAATATATCATAAAATTTGTCATTATAACCATTTTATCAGTACAGTTCAGAGGCATTAAGTACATTCACAAAGTCATATAACCATCATCACTATCTGTTTACAAATTTTTTTTACTGCTCCAAGTAGAAACTCTATACCCATTAACCTACAGCTCCCATTTTCCACCATCCTCAGCCCCTGGTGCCCTCTAATCTACTTTCTGTTCCTAAGGATTTACCTCCCACAGCACTATCTGCAGGTTTGTGTCTGGCTTATTTCACTCAGTAAAGTGTCTCACAGTTCATCCACGCTGTCGCATGTACTTGTGACCTAACAGTATTCCTTTGTATAAATATACTGTATTAAAAAGCGTGTTTATTGGTTGTTGGATATTTGGGTTGTTCCCATTTTTTGGTTATTGTGGATAAGGCTGTTACACTCTTAGTGGGCAAGTTAACTCTATGAGTCCCTATTTCAGTTCTTTTGAGTAGGTACATAAGCAGATGAGTTATATGATAATTCTTGTTCAGCCCCTAATCTTCTGGATAGAATTACCCAAGGACCTGCAAAGGAACCATTTTAATATTTTTCACTAGGATCACAGTTTATTTTCCCTCAGAGAAATGCTTTATCCACAGCCTCCTAGAATTTCTAACTCATGTGTTAAAATTTCCATGGAGCTTGTTACAACACACAAGGCTACATCCAACCCCGTATCTCCTCAGTCAGAATCTGTGTGGGGACCAGAAATCTGCATTTTTAGCAAGCTCCATTTGCAATCTTTGTGCACACCTAGTGCACATCTTGTTTAGATAGTTGGATAAAGGCAGATTGGTCTGAACTTTTATGTGGTTGATTTCTCCCCCTAATACTATATAGCAAGATGCTTTTGAACTAACATTAGAAATGAAAATTGAAGGGATTAGTTATTCTGAGGTCCTCCCAGAAGTTTCTCTTCTGATTTAGATTTTTACTGTGCTTTGAATCACTTCTGAATAAAATGTCACCTATTAGATGCACACCATTTGCCTAGCCATGGTCACAGATGAATTATAGGACTCATTTGGGGAGAAATATGCCTTGCATACAAAGTTAGAACCAGACTTCATCTATTCTGTTTTGGAAGGGTATCTTGAAGTATCTCTGGTACAGATAATCCTTGTGATCACTGTACAATCCATGACAACATGAGAGCTGAAAATTAAACTTATTTCAAAGAAGATCCAGCTTTCTCAGTGTTTTGTAAGCCAAATAAGACTGTTTCTATTCTGTTGAGAAAAATGCAGGGAACAGCTCCTAGATTTGAAACTTTGTCATAAAGCCATTTAATCTCAATGTTAATTTGTAAGTTGGAGGAAAAATGAATCAACGCTATACTGAGGATCACATCACAACCAACTGTTTTTGCAGCTAACTTACAATATCACTTCAAAAGAGTTTTGTTTTATTAGTATAGTTTCTTTTCAGCAGTAACAAAGCCCAAAAGTTTAATAGCAAAAAATAGTCAGGGCCAGTTTTATCTACCTTTGCGCAGTTTACCGGTATGACATTTCTTTTGTCTATTGCTTTCTTGTAGTTGACACCACCCACCTCTTCAGACCTCAGATACCCCAGAGCCCCCCTCCCATGGCAGACCTATAGATGCTACAGCTGACAGTACTTTACTGCTATCAGTACTTAACAGAGGTAAATTGTAGGTGAATAGCTAAGTGTAGGATTCGCTAAGAGCATATCCTGTCCTCCCTCCCCATCAAAACAAAACAAAGCAAACAAAACAAAAATGTGCTGGCCAGCACATTTCATGTGTTTTGATAGGCAGATAGCATGGCTTTGCATTTTAACCTTGGCATTCCTTAATACCAGAGAATGAATGTTTCATTACTCTTCATACTAAAATAAGTTAATTTTTTATTTTGACCTAGTAACTAGAAGTTTTTAGTGTTTTTTGGTTGGTGGAGGGGGTTTTTATTTATTTGTTTTTGAGACAAGGTCTCACTACATGCCCACGCTGGGTATGAATCCCTAGGCTGGAGGCTGTATTTGTACCTCAGCTTCCCAAGTAGCTGGGACTATATGCAGGCACCACCATGCCTGACTTAGAAGTTTGTAGTTCTTTTTATTTTTATTTTATTTAAACAAAAATTTTTTTTGAGACAGGATCTCACTATATAGTGCAAGTTGTCCTTGAACTCACTGTTTACCCCAATCTGGCCTCAGATTTGCAACAATCCTCCTGCCTCTGCCTCCTGAGTAAAGGGTTGTCCAGCTTTAATATTGTTACAATCTTAAGTGCAGATTTTGCTTTTGTCAGACTGGGTTGGATCCGAGAACTTTCTTAACACACTTCCAGGTGATACAGAGGTTACTGTCTGATGAACCACATTTTGAGAAGGGGATTTGAAAGAGTTTTGTATTTAAAGTATCCCAGAGTGAACTCTTTTATATGTGGAGATCGTTTTGTAAATGAGATCACACGGTACCCCTAATATATTTGTTCCAAAAATTTGCAGTGCATAATAGAACACATTCTAGAAATAAAAGTTAGTAGTGTGTTAAAGAAAACAGAGTAATATAATCAACAGGAAGGCAGAGAAAGGTGTGGGTAAGAAAACAAAGAACTCAACTATAGTTGGTTACAGGAAAACTTACTTAACATTCAAATTTGGAATGAAAAGTAACATTTCATGGGGTTCCCAATGCAATGTCTAGCTCTCTTTAAAATATTTTCATGATGTGTCTCTAGATGTTCTGCACACACACACACAAACACACAGAATGTGAGTCCCTCTGTGTGCAAGATTTTTGTCTCTTAAATAAAATGTTACATTAAGTGTTTATAATTATGTTTTTGTTTTATGCAAACTGTTCTTTTTAAACTTTAGTTTGATATAAAATTACCCATTTTCCTGTGTAAAGATGAGGTGATGTGTCACCTTCCATTTAGCTGTGTTTATTTGGATTTTTTTTTTTACATCGATCTGTTCATGTTGTCGTCTTCCTGATTCTCTGAATACTAGTACCCAAATTTCCAAATGTTCTGGGCATGGAAGATGCCTGTGGACCCAGGCCTCTGCCCCACAGCTGTACTAACAAAGTGAGCTAACCTTGAAGAGCTTCCATTAAAGAGTCATGTTTAGAAGATTGCAAAACAGCACACTTGGTCTTGCAGGACACTTCCCAGCTTAAGGCAGTAGTCGCCTGTGTTTCCTGATGCTGACCTGAGCCCGGAAGCCCAAGTGTGACAGTAACTCAGTGCTGTCCATCTCTCTATCTTTCAGACTTCCGGCCAGTTTGTTACGAGGAGCCCCAGCACTGGTGCTCTGTCGCCTACTATGAACTAAACAACCGCGTCGGGGAGACATTCCAGGCTTCCTCCCGCAGCGTGCTCATAGACGGCTTCACTGACCCTTCGAATAACAGGAACAGGTTCTGCCTGGGACTTCTTTCAAATGTGAACAGAAACTCGACCATAGAAAACACTAGAAGACACATAGGAAAGGGTAAGAGCCAGTGTGTCCTGCCGCAGTGGAGTCATCTGAGCTCAGGTGCGAAACAGAAACCGGCCATGAACTGGCCGTGTAGCCCTGAAACCACCCTAGGACCGGGTCACAGGGCAGGTCCCAGTCTCTCTGCCTCTTCAGTGGTGATGTGGGGTGGGCATGGTGAAGACAAGACATGACAAACAGAAGGCAAGATTCGATTACTCACGGGAGCGTTGTGAGTTATTTAACTGCATATAGATGCTAATTAGGGTGACTTCTGAAGAGGAATTCTGACTGAATGACTGCTAATATTTAAAGTCACTTTTAGAGACACAGAAGCTAGGGATTTAAAACTAATGATTGACTTGCATTTGGAAGCCTTTGGTAGGTGATAGGTAGCCAATTCCAGGCAGTGCTGTGACAGGTGAGCCAGCAGCAGCCTCTGTCCCTAGCTCATGATGCCTTGGAATCCTGGCTCATGTGTGTCAGCCGGGGTAGCCTGTCCCAGCTGAGGAGGAAGAGGGTTGAGGATCTCAGACACTTTGTCTTGTATTAGAGTTGTGTCTTTGTATGATACTACTCAGTGCCTTCAGGGCCGTTTGATTTTTTCTCTTCCCATTCCTCCTGGTAGCCTCAAGCCTCTTCTTTTAGATTTCTAGCGGATACTCATTATAATTAGATGTTAGTAGCCTTCCTAATGTACTTCTTAAATGTCCCCTGCTGTAGTAGGTTTAAAACAGTTCGAACTTACTCACTGGTTGACTTTTCTCTCTCTCTCTCTGTGTGTGTGTGTGTGTGTGTGTGTGTGTGTGTGTGTGTGTGTGTGTGTTGCAGGGGACTGAACCCAGGGCCTTCTCAGTGAACTACTTTCCTAGCCCTTATTTATAGAATCTTACTAAATTGCCTAGGCTGGCTTCGAACATGGAACCCTCCTGCCTCAACCTCCCAAAGTGCTGGGATTGCAAGAAGGCACCTCCAAGCCCAAGCTGATGTTGACTCTTAATGAACACAATTTTAAAATATTTTTAAAAATACTTATTTACATTCTGTCTCTTCATAGTGGCTTTGAGGTGGCTTACAGCGCAATGAAATGATACATGAAAAACAGAAAGTAAGAAGCCATGGGTGGGAGGAAGAGAGAAGACCATCTAGATAGTTGGCCCCCATGTTTGTGGGTTCCACAGTATATTTCTAACTCAACCAACGCCAGATCAAAAACATTCAGGGAAAAATTTCATCTGTATTAAGTACACATAGATTTTTTCTTCATACTGTTCTCTAAACAACACAGCATAAACTATTTACACACCATTTACATTGCGCGAGGTATTGTACATCAGCTAGAGATGAGCTGAAGTACACAGAAGGGTGTGAGTAAGTTTGGTGAAATCCTACACCAGTGTAGGAGAGATTGAGCTTCTGCAGAGTTTGATGTCTGCAGCAGGTACTAGACTCCGTCCTCATGGATACCACGGGCTGACTGTGTCACAAGGATTAGCGTTGTGACTGTGTGATTCTGCACTTGGTTTCCTGACAGTGGGGACAGAAAGGGGAAACTTAGTCTGTCCCTTTCTCCCAGAACAAGGAACATTACTATTCCTCCGTGGAAATAATATTTTGATTGCTTTCTTAAGCGAATTTCTCAGCTATGGCTTTCCTTTTAAATGATGTTTTCAAGACTCTTCAGTGAAATCTAAAGACAAAATGTTTACCATAACATGGCAGGTCCATTTTTTGAGGGCTTTGCATATTGGTCTATGTGGAAGACATCTGTGGGTACCAGGGTCCAAAGATGGAATGAAAACCTTACAGAAATATTGACTGGTGCTGGGAGGCTCTGCCCTCCAGCTGGCTTGTTCAAGGTGCTTCTGATGATGACAAGGAGAATAGAAGTTTGTGTTGATCACTGAGAGCTAACCTGTAGTTTTAAGAATCCATGTGAGCAAGAGCCAGGGCTGAGGATATCACCCAAAAGCCAGGAGACCTAGCCTTGGGCTCTCCTGGATGGGTGGCACCCCACTGTCATGGTCCCTAGGGAAAAGTCACAATACTCAGAAGTCCACTGAGGCATCATTCTAACCTAGTAATACACACAAGGGTAGGGATATAGCTCAGTAGCACAGCTCCTGTCTGGCAAGAGTGAGGTTGTGAGTTCGATTCCCAGTACCAAAAAAAGAAGGAAAATACATATGATTGTACTAACCGCTACTAAGTAGCCACATGTGCAAAACATCTTAAATAGCTACTAACATTTTAAATAGCTACTACCAGGCTTGGTACTAACATACGAAAAGCCTCCACTTGCATATCAGAGGCAACACCAACACAAGTTTGAGACTCTGAATTCTACTATGGGTTCTGCCCATATTTTCCCTTAAAAACCAGGCGAACCACTTGAACTGTTTTTAGTGACATAAAGAATAATAAAAATAAAGGTGAGGGCTACCCCTATTGGTTATGGTATGTGTGAGGCACCGTGGCATGCACTTAGACATATTATTTCTAATTCTTACAATAACTCTACCAGGAAGGCTTTGTTAGCCCGGTCATACAGAGGAGAGGAAGGTCAGAGAGCTCAGTCCCTGTGGTCCCCGTGAGTCCAGAGGCTCCCACTCATGGCTCAGGTGCGCCCCCTGCTGGAGAAAAGAGACCGGGCTGCCTTTCCTCTTGGGGCACTTCCTAGGGCTTTGCTTACAGAACCAACTCCTGCAGCTAGGAGTGAAGGCACCCTCACGCGCTTCAGGGCTGGGATGTTCTGGCTAGCTCCATGGTGGTTCAAGAGGCCCTTACACAGTGCTGAAATTTTATGACGGTTTGCTCTTTTTTCAGAACTGGATTGAACCTAGTGCTTTCATACTGTGTGCTATCTCCAGCCACTTTATAATTAAAAAAAAAATTTTTTTTTTGAGAAATATTCTCACTAAGTAGCTAAATTGCCCAAGCTGGACTCAAATTTATCATCCTCCTGCCTCAGCCTCACAGAATACTGGAATTATGTAAGAGATTTTGTTTTCCCTACAAAAATGTCGTGCTAGAAGGGAAATCTGCATTCGTACTTACTCAAAGGCAAGAGGGCCTTTGTGGAAGGATTAGAAGGGACAAAGGACAACTGACATATAATACTTACCTGTTATTGAGCAAACCAGAACCAGGGGCTGGTTCCTGATGATTTGAGAATGATACAGTAACCAATTTAGATGATTGGAAAGTAATACTTATCTGCCTTTTAAAAAGTGGCTCTTAAGATGGTCTCAGTTTCCAAATAATTTAATAAACCAAAACTTCCAACTGACTTGCAAGAGCCCTGGACTTGAGGTGGGATGGTGTTTCTTAGAAATTCACCACTGCATGTGTATTGTGCAGCATTTCTGAGCACCTCAGATTTCTGATGTAACCTAAATTAGCTCTGTTACCCTTAATGGGCCGGTGTAGGTTCTCAGCACGAAGTGATACTCTTCTGCCAGTGTAGATGTGTTGCGTTTGGCTTGGCTGATATTTGTTCTTCCCTTCATGGGAGGAAAATTAGATTTTATGTGATAATATCCGAGGCATTCATCACAGTTCCTAAACGTGCTGAGTTAAACTAGGGCCAACCTGCAAATAAACATTTCATATTCCAAATCATTGAATTATTTTTGGAATTAAGTTTTCGACTTTTTAGGAATTTTTATTTTCTTACATGTTTCAAATTGTGTATGATTCTAGAAATTCTTCTATTTTATGGAAGGATTGTCCTGAGGTAAGGGTTGGTTGGTGAGATCTTTAGCAAGAGGCACTACCCTTCCAGGTACATTTTGGATGGCTTCCTTTCCCGAGGATTTAGTTCTTCTTTATCACGATATCACTTGTGTTTTGGTTCTGACACCTGTAACAATGAGAAGTCATTGTTAAGAAGGCAAATAAATAAAGATTAACATAGAATGTCATACTCTTACAACCATTAAAGTTGACATTGAAGAATATTTAATACTATGAACAGATATTCACTATATGTTGTTAACTGGAGAATGGACAGAAAAAGTTTTAAAACACCCCATAGAATAGGATCCCGGTGTTGACTTTTTAAAATGCACTTAAAATCAAAACCTAAACATACGTGACAGATGCTGTAATTATTTCTGGGCTGTGGATTTGGGCCTGACTGATACTTTCCATGCCTGTGTGTTCTCGTGTGAGGTTGGGAAGGGATGTAGGTGAGCTGGAACTCTGCATCAGTCTTAAGAAAAGCATCACAGAGCAGCACAGCCAGGCAGGAGGCCGAGCGTGTGAAGGGCGGGAAAGGATGTCCAGGGCTCTGCAGCAGGGCCCAGATCTGCTTGGAGAGTCTTCTAATTCAGATTTGGGAGACAGCCTTGCTGTGAACCAAGGAAAGGTGCTCCTTCCTCAAGAGAATTCACTGCCATCTGCTGGGAAAGCTTTGTAATAGTTTTACAAATCTTGGACAGAGCGAGGCAAACGCTGGATTTGTGCAGCGCACAATAGCCCTGGATTTGGAAATCTTAGTTGTTTTTATTTACTTTATTTTTTGAAGTACTGAAGGTCGAACTCAGGTTACTAAAATACCTCCTCAGACCTTTTTTAAAAATTTTTTTAAATTTTAAGACAGGGTCTGAGTCAACAAGTTGCCCAGGTTGGGCTCAAATTTGAAAACTGCTTGTCTCAGCTTTCCAGAGTCCTGGGACACAGGCGTGTGCCACCCCCAGGACTGGAAACTGTATTTTTATAAAGTTTTAAATCATGTTATTGTGGAAGATTCCAAATCAACACGAAAGTGTAGAGTAGTGTTTAAGTCTTTGTGTCACCACGTTCCGCTTCCATAGTGGGTGCCACTCTTTTGCATCTGTCTCCCAGGGTAGGGTACTTTGGGATACTATCTTAAATCTCAGATTTTGTATCCTTTTGCTTATTTAAATATACATCTAACTTTATAAGGAGTTTTTAAAACTACTATTATCACATCCAGAGCATGTACTTTTTAAAAGCTCCAGATGATCTTGAAAGTAAGTCAGGTTTTCAAATAGCTCTGGAGGAGAGGAGACAAGGGCACTCACAGACTGCTTCTGGAGGGGTGCTAAGCGTGCTGGTGGCTGAGGTTTTGCTGAGTTCTCTGGGTGGGAGGGAGGGGAGAGTTGCCGTGGGCTCTGCTGTTCGTGGGGGCATTTCCCTTCCTCCTGGTCAGAGCATTCCTGCACTGTGGGACTCCGACACCCTTTTTGTGCCACGAGTAGGTCCCAGGCATTGGAATATTCTCCCAGTCTCCCCAACAGTCCGGCCTTTCCTCCTTGTGTCTTTGCTATTCAAGACTACTGAAGACGCCTCAAAGACCCACGTGCTGTCTGGTCTCACAGATCCAACGGAAAGCCAGTGTGCCTCTGCACATGCTCAGGACTGAGACTCTCAGCCTGGTGGAGGCTGCGTGGTAGTCACATGTGGTGGAAAAGCTCAAAGAAACAGCACAAGTGGAAATACAGAACCTGCCTGAGAGTCTCATTGTCTGGGTTCTCCTTGGAACCCAAGGCAGTACTTTCTTGAGGGAAATTTCCTTATCTCAAGGTTCTCAAATTCACAAGAGTTAACATTTTAGTGGCATATTTTATTGTAGCAAGAATAGACCTGATGATGTCACTTTCAACATTTCACGAACTAGCGTAATGAAGATTGCAATAAAATATGTATGTGTTCATTTCCCTACCCCTGTTGAAACGTGGATGCTCTACTGCTATACTACATCCCAGTCCCCCTTCTTTTTGAGACAGGTTCTCTCTGATCTCCCCAGCCTGGCCTCAAGCTTGCCATCCTCCTGCCTTAACCTCCTGAGTAGCTGCTCCTAAGGGAATACCTTATAAAGTAGAGTTCACAAAGGATGACTATCAGTGAGATGGGATTCTGACAGATATAAAAATACTCGAGACCGCCTGCTGTTATTCAAGAACCAAGTGGGACAATGAAACTCCTGTCTGAAAACAGTTTTTGAGGATTCCACACTTGAAGTTCAGCCTGTCTAATTCAGAGCCTGGTCTGTGAAATGGCCTGAGCTCCCAATGTGAGGCAGCATCAGCTTCACCAGGGAACTTGCTAGAAACAATGTATCTCATCTCTCTGGGACCTACTGAGTCAGAGATGTGTTTAAACAACCCCTTGTGATGCAAGCTAAAGTTGGAGAATGGTTCTATTCTATGGCAATCTTTTGTCTGATACAGACGCTGCAGAGATACACTTTGGGTTAGCAGATGAGTGCAAACAAAATCATTTTTCTGCTTGACTCTTCTTGACTCTTGCTCTCTGGCTGGAAGCCGGCCTGCTTCACAGCGGGGTGCCTCTGTCCTTGTCCTGGTGTCCAGGGAAGACTTCCTGGTCTCCCCATTGGCTCTGCTCCCTCTTCTCTTCTAAGAAACTGGACTCTTCTGCTTTTGTCACTCAACCAACTTGTGCTGTGGTTGCAGATAATGGTAACAGTTGTTGAAAACTGTCCCATAAATGTATCTGGCCCTGTTTTATTTAATAAGTTCTGGGAGGATTATATACTTGAAGGCCATTTGATTCAGGTACCTGTTGAACCCTTTGCCGCTCCACCCTGGGGCTTTTCTTCTTTTACAAAACACTGTGTCAGAGAGGCAGACCTCACCCGCCAGCCCCCCAGTGCAGAGGCCACGGGGAGGGGCGGGGACAAAGAGAAGCAGCACTTGCTTGTCCTGCAGGGTCCAGCCAGCCAGGGCCTCCTTCCTTTCCTGGACCCCTGCCTGGGTTGGGGGTCTCCATACTGGGCTGTTCCAGGAGGTGAGTAATGGAGGTGAGGAGGGAGAGGGACAGAAGGCGGAGCACAGGCCACCAGTCTGCTGCAGACAGTGACAGGTGACCTCAACCTGAAAATCCAGGACTCGGCTTTAGTGTGACTGAGTTTCTTCAAGCGAAGTACTTAGAGGACATAATGCTCAAACCCATTCTTCTGTATTACCTTGCTGCTCAGATGCTTTCCAGATGTGAAAAATTGTATTCAGGGAAAGAAGTAGGGGAGAAGCAAGGGTGAGTAGGATGGGGAGTCATCACAAGCATACAGAAGTGCCCCTTCCTGCTGTGTAAACTCTGGGCAGTGGTTCCTGTAATATTTCCCAAATTCACAGTCAGGCAAATGGTATCGATGAGGCTTATGAGTGCTGTTGTGCGAAAATTCATATCGTACATTTTGTCCCAAAATATTTAGACAAATACAATCTGGGCCACTTCTATAGACTTTTTAGTGGCATACTGGTTTTATGTTTATACTTGTGTTAACGCCTAGAGCTGGAGAATTTTCCCTCATTAAAAGTTGGAAAAAGACTATTTTAGTATAATATTCACTAGCCTAGAAGCTCCTCCCTTTATCTGAAATCCGGCTCAGATTCTGAGAGATTCAACTACAGTTGAACTTGTGAGAATCAGCATGAGAGCAGCATCCTCGGGGTGCTCTTTTAGCTCCAAAAATGTTAGGTAAAGTGAAAAAAGCCACATTTTGCTTCTGTTTTGATATGATTAGATGCAAAAATGTAGAAATGCCACTTACAAAAACACATATGATTTAACCTATGATAATGTGAGGCAAACCTTTGAAATTGAATATATTTTTGAAGTTTTATCAGAAGAGATTCATAATAGTAAATAAACTTTAAATTGCATTGTTTAGTGTGTGTTTACCTAACGTTTTCATGATACCGAGTCCAGTTTTAACTTTTTTGTTTGTGTTATGTACAGGAAGTTCCATTTGCCTTTTTAAATATGATATTAATTTTGTTTCTAATATGATGAGACCCTAATTTGGAATGAATAAGCATGGGATTGAGTGGATGGTGTGGGCAGTATGAGTCTCCTGAGAATGATTGATTGCTTACATGGGTTGCAACTGCAGACGGACTTGTGGGAAAATCAAAATTGATAAGGAAAACACCTGGGCATTTGGGTCACATGTCTTCCCTATCTATGACTGGCGATGTAGAAGTGGCCTGGACTGCTAAGTCCAATGTCTTGAGGTGCTACCTGGGAGTCCCCGAGGTGGGAGCGATGTTTGCAGGAGGCTGTTCCGTTGCCCACAGGTGTGCACTTGTACTACGTGGGTGGAGAAGTGTATGCCGAGTGCGTGAGCGACAGCAGCATCTTCGTGCAGAGCCGCAACTGCAACTATCAGCACGGCTTCCACCCGGCCACGGTCTGCAAGATCCCCAGCGGCTGCAGCCTCAAGGTCTTCAACAACCAGCTCTTTGCTCAGCTGCTCGCCCAGTCCGTTCACCATGGCTTTGAAGTCGTCTATGAATTAACCAAGATGTGCACTATCCGCATGAGTTTTGTGAAGGTAGGGAGTGCCTGGTTTCAGGCTACAAAATAGAAAATGAAAAGAAAAACAAAATGCAGAAGTGCTTTTGGGTCGGTAGGGCAGTTTACAGCCAGAGAGCGGTCTGTTTCTTGGAATTCTGACAATAGACATTAGGTAGAACTTCTCTGTGAGCATGAGCTGTCTGGTTCAGCACTATAGAAAAATCCTTAGGCATTTTAATTTTGAAAGACAAACAAGTTAAAGTAGCTATCTCATTACTTTTAATCCAGAAGATAAAGTGACAGTAATAATATTACAAGATTAAATGCGAGAGAGAGCTTTCCTTATCCCTTACATTGCCACGCTGTTATCACCCAGCAAATGATGGGAAATTTACTTTAATTCAATAAGAAATTCTCCTCACTCTTAGAAAGCATATAGGCAAATGGGGAAGATAAATTGATAGTTTAAGTCACAAAAAAGATCTGACTCTACTACAGGACGGTAGACATTACAGGTATAAACAACTGGGTAGAGACCTTGAGTTACGTGTGATCAGTCCTGAGAAAGTTGTACCGCTGTATGTTCAAGTAGTGAATATTTGTTTAATTCCTCAAATCTTACGAATGTTGCTGTGAAGGTTGGGGAATTGGGAAGTTTCTTAGTGGAAAAGAAAAAAGGCTGGATTTTCGCATTCAGGCTAAAGGCTGCATTTCATCACCTGCTATTTTATTTGTTCCAAGGTGTTTGCAAATCGCTGAATATTTCAGTACTCGAGCTTATTCATCCACCTACATGAGTACAGATCACACAGTTTTCACCCTGTCTCTTCTGCAGCCAAGAAAGCACCATGGCTAGCCCAGGTTTCTCAAAGTAACTTTGGTTAGCCCTTTAAAGTTACCATGACAGGTGGTCCTACTTTACTGCACTCGAAGTGTATCTTTATGTATTTATAATCGTTCAAGGCCAACTTGACCAACCAAGATCTTGTGCATTTTAGGCAAACATTCTACCGAGCTATATCCCCAGTCCTTAGTATATACTTGAAAAATAAGAATTGATAATACATGTTGTTTTCAGTTTTTACACTGGCTTCTTGTTTTTGTTTTTTGGGTTTTTTTTTTTTTTTTTTTTTGTATATTTTGAGCCAAGGTCTTGCTTTTCGTTCAGGTTGACCTTGAACTCATTATTTTCAATGCCAGCTTGGCCTCAAACATATGGTGATCCTCCAGTCTTAGCTTCCCAGCTGTTGGAATTACAGGTGTATGCCACCAAGCTCAGCTACACTGACTTCTTGAAACAATTTTCTTTTCATAATGGCAAAGCATTTTCATATAAACTCGTCATTTTAACCTGCAAGGTCATCAGCATATGCCCAGAATTTTTTCATATGCTGTGTTGCTTTAGAGCCAGCAGAGGGCATTAAGTTTCTCTTCATGAATAATTGAATCCTACAGTTAATTTTCCCAGATCTGTGTTTTTAAAATGAGAAAAAAAATGCCAACATCTGGTAGGCAATTGTTTCACTGAGATGAAAGCTTACATGTAAATCTGATCATCTATATGTTTATCTCAGGTATGCAACATTTAAATTTATGAAGGTACACAACCCACAGAAAGAAAACCATTGACTGGTATCGCAGAGACTTAAAAACTACTTAGCAAATATAAATATAGAGGATTAGTTTAACATTATAGATGACTGAGGACTGATGGGAGTGACAGACGAGACCTCTGTAAGGTCTCCTTCAGCTCTGACTGTTAGTGATCATGTAACTCCACTTATCAACAAATACTGCTTGAGCTCAGTCATGGGCCAGGCCAGGCTCTATTTGTAGGCATTGGGGTCCACTGGGTAATTACCCTTTTCTCTTTCTTATTCTACAAGAAGTGAAAAAATGTGGATTCAGGTAAAGGGAATTTGGGGTGCTGGGCAGGGGAAGGCTGCAAGCCAAAGGAGGAGACCTCCTGGAGGAGGCCATGGATCAGCAGAGGCCTGAAGGTGAGTGTCAGCTGTGGGCCTTGGGGAGGAGCCACGCAGGCTGAGGGAGGAGCAAGCACAGAGGCTCAGGACAAGAATGTGCCAGAAATTTAGAGGTGAGGAGCAGACCTCGTGACTGCAGCTCTGAGAGCTGATGAGAGGGAATGAGAGCTGTGCAAGGAGTTTACTGCAAAGGGCTTCGCAGGGATTTTAGCAGATAACCTTGCTTATAGCAAGGCTCCGTAGGGATTTTAGCAGATGTGTTTCACCGTGGTCATTCTGGCCAGGGACTGCAGAACAGGTGTTATGCAGGTAAGGCGAGACGTAGGGAGGACAGGGAGGAGGCAGTGTTCAGGTGGGAGGTGATGGTCCCCCTTTATCCCCGTCAGGAGAGTAGAAAGTCCTGGCTGTGAAGGCAGATTTTATTCAGGTTGAAGGAAAACAGGTTTAGAAAGATGGAATTAGTTGCGTCCAGCCATGATAGAGCTGTGTCTGGATCAGGATTGGAGACAGAACTGAGTTCAGGAGCTCTGATATCTGTCACTCATTCAAATGGAGGTGCTGGGAATAGTTAGATGAGTGTGTGTGAGGGGAGAGAGGTTGGTCCTGGCTGTGTAAACTGGGTGTCATTGCGCTTGGACGATGTTTAATTCCATGTCCTGGATGATTTTGCTTTGGGTTTAACAGAGGAGGAGGGCATCTAGGACTGAGTCCTGGACCCTTTGACATTAAAGTTGGAGGAGAATAAAGCAGCCAGCGAAGAGAACCGTGAAAGCCCAACAATGATAAGACTTAGGTTTCTTAATGTGTAAATGGATTCACGAGTTAATTGTGCATTTGATGGATAACCTGCTTATATGGAAACACAGATAATGGATGGCACAAGGTGGAGAGACCGAGAATGTGGGTGCAGGTGCTATGGAAATCTTCCTTTCTGATGGCTCCATTTTTCTTCTGTAAAAAAGAATCATTGTCAGTGTGTATGGAGGAGCAGGTGTTAGACACTGCTGAAGAGAGGAGAGGAGCAGAAGTGAAACCATCAGCAGGACGGGAAGTGAGGCCAGAGGATGGTGGTGAGGCTGCCACGTGGCATTGGCGCTCCCTTTGAGGATCATGTTCTGAATGGAAAGTGTGATCGGGCAGCGTGGATCTGTTGAAATCCAGTTTTAAACACCTCTACTGAGAATTACTGTTCCCAGTAGCAAAACTAATTCGTTTAGATGTGACCTCCCTTGATTTCAAATAATTTCCTACTAATGCGTCACTTGTAGATAAATATGCAAGTTTCTTTATTTACTGTGTTTCTCCTATGGATGGTGATAAATGGAAAATTGTAAAAAGAGAAAAGAAAATTCTTTGGTATCCCTCTAGGAAATCGAGAGTATCCCCCAGTTGTGCCATCACAGCTTTTAGCTCCAGTCCCTAGTCTGTCACGAGAAACCATTTTGGGCAGGGTGCTGTCTTCATCATAAGCAGCGAATGAACATAAAGTTGAGGGTCTCCCCTTGAGGAAGAGGAAATTACATCAGCATGTCCTGCGTGATGGTTCACAACCCAGCCATCCTTGGATCGGTACCTGCCCGTGAGCCCAGAGGGTGCCCTGATCGGAATTTCCTGGGGCACTGGTTAGTGTAGAAGGCATCTGCACTTACAGGAAGGTGGAGTCCGTGCTGTCACCGGCTCAGGTTTCAGGAGATGCCCAGGTGCCTGGGCTCTGTGTCCTCCTGCTCTCTAATGGCTCTCTCTCATGGGCTCTGTTTTTGCTTTTCAGGGTTGGGGAGCTGAGTATCATCGCCAGGATGTCACGAGCACCCCGTGCTGGATTGAGATTCACCTCCACGGACCCCTGCAGTGGTTGGACAAAGTCCTGACTCAGATGGGCTCTCCACACAACCCTATTTCTTCAGTGTCTTAGCATCTGTGTCTTAAACTGCATTGCTGTAGGATAGATGCTGTTGCAGGCAGTTGCTTAGTCATTTCAGATTTGCAACTAGCTGAAGTTTCTAAATACCTGTGTAAATACATATCATGTATACGGTTCAATTTTTTTTTTATCACCATTTGTTTTGTGCTACCTAGTTAACCTGGGGCCAGTACAGAGTGGTTGGAGAGGCAGGATTTCCAAGCCTATGCTATAATAAGCCTCTTCTTTTGTGAGAGGAAGTGGATGAAGGGCAGCAGTCTAAATGGTATGTGCAGGTGTTGGAGTTGAAGGCGCGCCGGTCGGCACGGCATACCCAGCAAGCGTGGCCTAGCAGAAACGTGGAAACTCTTCCTATTGTAAAACACAAGTATTAGTAGCACTAGAGGAAACAGTACTTTCACACAAATTAAAACAAACCCGTGCAGTTTAAATGATGTCACATTTAGTGCTAATGGCACAGAGTAGGGTGCAATCAAGCTTTTACAATGAATTATGTGAGATTAATCACAGAAAATTTATTTCTGAATTTCAAATACATACACCATAGTTAAACTACTGTGTGATTTTGGTACATTTAAAATGAATTTAAACTGTGATTGGGGGAAAAACGAAACGGAAATTAAAAGTCATGTTGCCAAACGTCAGTCTCCCACTGCAGAAGTGAGTCTAATAAGGGAAAACAGATATGAAAATAGAATGAGATGAGCTATAATCCCAAATGATAAGGTCAGTTCAGAATGTAGTCTAAGAACCATCCAGGAGGTTCCTGCTTTCCATATTGGAAACCAGTTCTGTTTTTTGTGGTTGTCTTGTAAGCAGCCCTGCAGACAGCAGAGTCTGTGCGGAGCGTGCAGTACTAGGTAAGAGTCCTGTCGGGGGAGGAAGGAGAGAAATAAAAAGGCTGGACAGAGCCTCACACATGCACTGCACCTTCCACATTCCCACAGTCAGGCTCCTGTCAGGGCACCCTCTGTGCCACATTTTCTTGCCTGTTAGCAAATATTAACTATTTGCAGACTATTAAGACAATACTAAAGCCTGTGGGAAAATCGGGACACATTGTTGGATCAGATTTATGAATTAATTAACTTAGGGTCTGTATTGATTAAATTATCAGCTGCTTAAATCTGTAGCCTCTTTTAAAGTCTCCAACCTGGAAATAACTCCTGAAGTAAAATGATAATAATTTCATACTCCCTATAATTTGGGAGAAAAAGTGGTACTGAATAACAAGGCATCTTTAAAAATATATACAATATTAAAAAGCTCTTCCGTTTTTCTGTGGATGATAAAGGGAAATCCCATCAATTTCTAGGTATTTGCCACCCATTAAACCATATATTGCTTGAAAAGGTATTTCGCACCTTCTTAAAAACGTATAATTTAAAGAGAAGTCATGCTTCTAACAAACAGGACTTCAGTAATCCAAGAGGCTTCTTCATTTATGCCTTCTCTCTAGCATTAGTGCACATGTGATTGTTTCTCATCAAACTATATTCAAGTTAGAAAAGACCATGTGCAAAAGATAGAAGAAGAAGCTACAACTGTCACCACTTGTAATGACTAGTGTTCTCTGATAGAAACGTTCATATATGGAATAGAAAGGAATTATTACTTTTTGCATTAAAATTAGGCAGTCCACTTAGCGTTTAGAAGACCCCATAGTTCACTGGCTCATCAGCTATGTATCGTGCAGGTAGAATGCTAGGTACTTTGGAATCAAATAGAAGCGAGATATTCCCAGCATGCACACAGCAGAATCCAACAGGGAACCTGGTTTTATAGACATCTTCATGTTTGACAGCTTTGAAAACAAAACATGCAAACTTTCTTTTGCTTGAAAAAGCATCATTGATTTTTAATCATCTCTTTTAAAATTTTATTTCCCTTCTATTCTGAGCAACTGGGTAATGGTTTCCTTAGATAAATGGTACTTTTCTTGCATGTCTCAGAGTTTGTGGTTCATCTGTACTTGCTTCCTCACTTTCTAATAATCATTTTTTCCACTTTTCTTGGAAAAATCATAAATATGGTGAGTCTCACATTCCAAGGGAGTTTCAAGTACACATGGCTTTTACTCCAGAGATCGAAAGCAGCCTGTCTGTGGATCTTCTCCTCACGCTGTCAAACTCATCCTCTGGGAATCTTACACCTTTGTAGAGTCAATCAGAAGTTGTGGCTTATAAATGACATGTAAAACAACAATGACAGTTTAAAAAAACATAGATTTCAACGCAGCTTTAAAACCATGAGAAAATTCTGCAGTGTGCCTAAATTATTTCTGTGAAAAATAAATCATGAAATGGCATGTGCCATTATAACCAGTCACACCCCACCCAAACCCCTCCCTGTGAAATTTAGAGCCTTTAGAACTGCTGAGGAATTAAACCCCTAGTCATTGTAAATAGCCACTTTTTCCTCCCAATTCTGAGAGTTGAACCTAGGGCTTCACACCTACTAGGCTGTGGTCTGTCTGTGAGCTGTATCCTCAGCCCGTGTGTTCACATTTCAGTCGGCTTTTTTTTTCCTTTTGCTGCTAAGAGTTCTCAGAGACTGTAATGCAGTATTTGATTTCAGATTCCGAAGGGTGGTCTTTTAGCATTCATTCCATGAGGTAGGAAGCCAGAAACTTGAAAGCAGCCTTTCATAGGATAACAAGCAAAGCCAACAGAGTAGGCCATTAAATACATCAGCACTGCTAACATGCTTCAGGTTGCCACGATGAGAATCAGGAAACCGAGAGACAGCTACGTTTTGACCTACTCACAAGACCCAGAACATTGTTCATGCCAGTATTTTTTTGAGTATTAAAAAAAATGAGATGTGAAGATTTTGTTGTAGTTAGATGACGTTAATAGCTGCTAGTGCTTTGCAACCAAAATTATGTCACTTTTTAAAACATACTTTTATGTTTTGTTTTGTTTTGTTTCTATACTCAGTATAAATCGGGAAAAGTTGGCCAATTACATAGGCTTTAGAATCCACCTTTTATTTTCTAAGGATATGGATATCCCATCACAGCAGCAAAACAAACGCATTTCATAAATATCACTTGTGCCTGAAGCTCCTGCTTAATTTTGAATGTGTCTCAAATATTTGGTGTGTATACTCAATACAGCAGCAAATGTAACATGCATTCCAAAGTGTCTTCCCTGTTATGATGTAACAGCTGCACTGTACAAGGTAAGGTGATCCTGCCATATGTTAAAAAATTCAAATGAATGTAAAACAAATAAAAAAGGAGAAACTATTTGAATGAAGTAATGCATTTGATGATAATAACCTTGGTTTCAGTTATCCTTCAAATGCACACTTACATTGTATTCTGATTGTTTATAATAAAGAATACTGTACCGAGATGTGTTGGCTCATTTTTCCTATAAACTTCATAGAAGGATTCACTACCTGAGTTTCTGCAGCTCCTGATGATGGTGAATCTCAGACCATTGTAATTGGAAAATGCGACATTTAAGGAATTCATCTTTTGGAGAAATTAAGTGATTTTGAATTAAACATCTTGCGGAAAATTTAGAATATACAAATGGTTTTCAGTTTACAGTGGGGTTGTACCTCTATAAAGCTCTTATAAGCGGAAATTATAGCAAATCAAAAAATGCTTTAGGGGCTGGGGATTTAGCTTAGCGACATAAGCGCCTGCCTTGCAAGCAGGCAGTCGTGAGTTCGATTCCTGGTACCGATAAAAACAAAAAAGACAAAAAAAAAAGCATTGAATACACCAAACCTAGGGAACCTCCTGCCTCTGCAGCCCGCGAGCAATGGCTGTTTCCACTGTTACCAGGCAGCTGAGCGGGAGCGCTGCTCACCACCACCTACCGCTCTGCGAGAGCCCCGAGCCAGGGTGTCGTGGACAGGAAAAACACACAAATTCAAAGTGTGGTTTTTACAGATTGCATGTATGGAAGAACTAGGTTTAAAAGTTAGAAGTCAAATTATTGTAAGACAGAGACCATCTGTTCATTGACGCTTTTTTCTGGGTAGTAGCAAATAGGAAGTGATGTTGCAAGATACAGGAATGATCGATTTTATTATCATACACATCTGTACTTGTCTTCAATCCTCAGCACCAAGAAACAAGAGTGTGGGGAGAAGGGAGAGGAGAGGAAGAAAACAGCTAGTAAAACTAAGTTTCTGCACCCCAGCGATACCCTATTTGTCTCTTTGTCTCCCATGGTTTCTGAACCCATTCTTTGACATAGTACTTGGTTGTGGCATTTCAAACACTGAGTTGTACACATTTTAAATTTATCACGGTATAGGCAAAGTTCTGTCTTTAGACATCAGTTCATCTTACTGAGGTAGTATCTTCATTGTCCCGCAAGAGCTTCTACACATCTTCACCTGATAGGTCTTATATATCAACAAGCATTATAGAGAAAATGACAGTAACAGTTGCACCTTAAGATGACCAGGTTGTGAAGCAAGAGGCATGATTAGCCAACATTATCAGTTCGTTATCCAGTTGTGATGGGCTCTGGGGGACTCGAAGGACTGACACCTTCATCAGGTTCTGGGTGGGGCAGGGAAGGCTTCCGGGCAGATCCACCTTGATTTCCTCCTCTCAGCTCCCTTAGCAAGCCACTCCGGATATGACTACACCACGTACCATGTTAGATGCTCCTGCAGCAGGGCGAGCCCACCAACTGCCAGTTTTTTCCCACACCACCTTGTTTATCGATCTCTCTTTATGGACAGAAATTGTACCTACTCAATTTTCAGCATTTTCCAACATTGTTTAGAATGGTATTTGGGAGTCAGACTGTAAGGCAGAAATAGTGTTTATTTACAGTTCTCTTTCAAGACATCCCTAAATAGTGTCTTCCCTTCAAAATAATAATTTTTAAGTCTCCAACTGCCTGTTAAGTGACCATGAGCAGCTGTTGGGCATCGGAGAAGAGAAGCATGCTGGTGATTAAGTTTGCAAATATTTATTAAGCTGCCAGTCAATATTAAGATAGCTTTGACAATGAAACAGGTAAAAGTAGCTTAGTCTAAGCATGCATTTTCATTTTGATAAGCATATATTTTCCAATGTGAGTTTCAGTAAAGATTAGAAGAAATTCCAATATTGCATCACAAAGTTAATAAAAAGACCTGAATTCTGAAAGTTTACTTCTGCATTGTCACTGATGGCTGCATAATTTGCATGTACCTGATAAAAATATTTTGTATCACTCCAATATTGCTGTGGTAATATAATAAATACTAACGTGAAAAGTAATGAAAATTACATCTAGTTTGGCATTCCAGGCAAAAACTTGGTATCTGCCTGTGTTACTTGTACTTAATGTTTGCAAGTGGCAGGGTAATTGTCTCCTAATTTAGAAAGAGATACACTTAAAAATCATGAAAATAACCCCACTGGTGTTAAGCATGATTTCAAGAATTTCAGACATTTATGTTGTAAAAGTGTATTTGTTTATTCTCATGTTATGACAGTTTATCCTTTCTTGTAGATTTAGTCTCCAGGTTAACATAATATCACTTTACGATTCATTCATTAACAAATTTAGTTCACATTCTTGACAAAATTCTTTTTAAAAGTTAAATACAGCACCACATGTGGTGAATGTGTGGAGAGTCAAACTTACATCAATATATTTAAATGTTTAGATGGTTTCCAATGCATGATGGTTCAACTTGAGCTTTTGAGTTTACAATGGTATGAAGCCACAGAATTCAGGAAAACTCAGAGGTGCAGTGTCACATACATATGGATGCTTCCCGGATCCTCTCCAGGGATGCTGGGTGACAGCAGTGAGCACAGCCCCTGGGCAGCCACATGATTATGAGTATAAACTCTGTGACACTCTGTGCTACTGTGTGGCTGGGATGTTAGGTATAATTTTTGCCTATTTTCAACTTAAAGTGGGTAAAAACATAACCTCATTGTAAGTTAAGGAGTATCTGTATATTAAAACAATTTTAATCCAGTATTTAAAAAAATACTTTACACATGATTAAAATTAAACTGATCAAATATTTTCTAAGGGAGTTTGTGAAATTATAGATTACTAAGAAACAAATGTATCAATAAAAGTTAGTAAAACTGATATTTGTTTCCCATAGTCTGGCATTAAAAATAAATAGCAAGCTTGGTCTTAAAGAGCTAGAGAGGCCACTTTAATTGTTGAAGGAATAGAAAAGAACTAGAATGGAGAGGATTTTGGTGAAATAGCATGATCTATTGGCACTTTAACATGTAAATAATTTATAATGGCTTCATAGAAAGGGAAGAGGTAGATGTAGGCTGGAGCTGGGATAGAAAGGTTCTGTCTTCATACTAAGACCTCTGGACAACAGATTCTTAGATCCAGGATGACAAATCAAAACAGCTCTACTGGCTAAAAAGCAACAGTGTTAGCAACTATGATAGAATCTCTTTGGGTTTCCCCTGAATCATGCTACAGGTGTGCTACAGGCAGCTTTAGAATATCTTGTTAGGGAACATAGTTCTCACTTTGGAAGTTCGAGGCTCAAAATTGCTTTACTGCAATACACGAAATCTCTAGCTATGAACTGGTTGGAATTTGTAAGTCCTTGAGTCAAGAGCAGAGAGCAGACAATGTACAATAAAGATTACATTTTCTTTCTTTTCTCTCTTTCTTTCTTTCTTTTTTTGAGATGGGTCTTGCTATGCAGTTTAAGCTGGACTTGGGCCCACTTCATATCCCAGGGTGTTCTCAAACTTGCAGTGATCCTCCTGCCTCAGCCTCCCTATAGCTGGGGTTATAGGAGTGCGCCACCAAGCCTGGCTACATATTCTTTAGTATTGGTAAGACTTTGGCTTTGGTCTCCTCTTTAGTTCGAGTGTGCAATCAGTTATCTTACATTCACTTACAATGATTTTAGCATGTCATTTAGTTGGTCAGTTTATATTGGATAAATTTTTCTGTTTGATAAGAGATTCTAAGCAGTGCTTACTTACAACCTGATGAGATTCCAACTCTCACCCCTAGCACTTGACAACTTGTATTAATTTCCTACTGCTGCTGGGGAAAAAAACAACAGGGCCAGAAATGTAGTGCCCTAAAATAACATTCTTTTACAGTTCTAGAAGCCAGAAGTGTAAAGTCCGTCTTACTCGGCTGATGTCTAGGTGCTGTTTTGGCTGGTTGTTTTTGGAAAATCTAGTGAAGAACCTATTTTCTAATCTTTAGATTCTGGAGGCTGCCTGTATTTCCTTAGCTGATGACTACTTTCTCAAATCTCTTCAAATTATTGCTTCTATAGCTATAAATAACAAGCAAATGAATGTTTGTGTTTCAATAAAACTTAATGGATGCTGCAATTTGAATTTCATGTGATTTTCATGTATTACAAAGCATTTTCCTTTTTTAATCCAGCTATCTAAAAATGTAAAAATTATTTTAAAGAATTACAAATGTAAAATCTACTGCTCACAGCAAGACAGAAACTTCCTGCTGATTGGATTTGCATGGGGGCCTTTGGCTTCCCATATCCTGCTCTGGGAGGTGGAAGACCACCTGGATATTTTCCAGTCATGACCATATTCTTCCCTGAATGTAGCCTCATGAGATGCCACAAGCAAGATTACCAGAAGCCTCAGCTAGGCTCAGCCAACCTCTAACATTGTGAACAACAGCAGCAACAAACAAGAAATCTTACCATGAGATCTCAGGTAAGAACAACTTATCACAAAATAGAGGCAGGTCTCTTTGAAAGTACCTGCAAGCTGGGTGCAACAATGTGTATCTGCAGTCCTAGCTACGCAGCAGATTGAGACAGAACTGTTGCGAAAGGCCAGAGGTTCAGGTTTAGCTTGGGCAATACGGCAAGACCTCATCTTTTAAAAACTTAAAAACATTTACAGGAAAAAACGTGCAGTTCATTATATGGCTGTCACAGTGGATTTGATCAGCATCCTAGTTTAATCTGCTATGTCGGTGCATAAACTTTGAGATCTCTGTTCAGAATTCCTACTTTTTTCCTCCTAGATCATGTGGGAGGCTGACTATTTTGGTTGCTAGAAATAAACCCATCAATTCCTGCCTCCTGTTACTAATGTTGGTGCGTTTCCCAGCAAGGGGACCATGTAGGCAGTGGGAAGAGCCTTGGTCTCAGGACGCTGCTGTTGCTACTACAGCTGTGCTTGTCACAGTCATCACAATAGTGTTAGGATCTGACTTTAGCATCAGCGGTTGGCGCGCTGCTGTTCAGAAAGCACCCAGACTTCCTCTCCAACACGGGCTTTTCAGAGTTAATTCTGTGTTCTCGTAGCCATTCAGAATGGGCAATGCTTGGCGTGGGAAGAGGCCAAGGGCTGCAAAGCAGGAAGAATTCCGGGAGGTGGGAATGCTGGATAGACTTTCTGCCCC